GGTGGGTGGGGACACAGACAAATAGTGTGGTGAAGGCCTGGGGTTGGGGACAGAAGCCGGTTAGAAGGGGAGAAAAAGGCAGGAATGTAATACTTTCAACAAGGAAGATAAACAAACAAAAACCTTAGTTGGCGTTAGCGTCACACCCACATCCAGCATTGTATCGATTTGTGAGAGTTGGTATCCCTTGTTCTGGCCATAATAGATACTCAGTATATGCTGGTAAAATTTAGTTGATACTCAATACATGTTAGGGTATGAAAACTGTCATTTGTTGAATATTTGATAGATGCCAGAAGTTATTTGTCACTAAACAAAGGTTTTTTTTTTGTGTGTGTGTTTTTTCCTTTTTTTTCCAATTTAATCTGTTCAATAATCCTGTCAGGTGATTGGCACATAATTTCCATAATTTCAATGAAATAATTGCATCTTACAACTTGTTAGTGACAAACTATGATTTAAAGTGAGGAGTCAGCTCAGTTTTAGCCTTATTTGCTACTACATGCTTGCTACCTCTTCCATCTCTAGGGTGGCATATGAACTTGATTCACTTAGCATTGCCTGGCTTCATCTCAAAATTGAATATTTTTTCCTTATCCACAAACTTTGCTTTGAAATAGGAAAATGAACAAAAGTTAATCTCTTTTATGTCTGAAGTACAATTCCTGTTCCCTTCTAAACCTAATTGAAATGATTTCTGCTCCCCTCCACCACCCCCACTTCATTTCTGTGACATAGGTTGGAGGTCATCTTAAATCTTTCACTCTTTCTTCCTAATCCTGTTAGATGTTGTATCCATTATCTGTGCACTTAATTCCACCTCTAGTTTTATTGCTCAGTTATCATAATGGCATGCTTCCTTGTAGTAATGATGCTGGTCTCTCTGCCAGTAGTGTCTTTCCCTCTCTAGTTCTTGTATATACTACCATAGAATAGTGTTCCCATGTGATACTCCATATGTCACTTCTGTCAGAAAGCCTTGATTGCCCTTTACCTTTTAGGGACAGAAAATTGCTTTCTTCAACACTTGTTGTTATTAAAGGTTGGGTCCAATACCTTTTCTTGACTCTTATAGGTGTTAATACTTTCTGGCAGTGGTTTTATTTATTTTTTTATTAGAATTTGTTGGGGTGATATTGGCTAATAAAATTATATAGGTTTCAGAGGTACAACTCTATAATGCATCTGTATATTGTATTGTATTCACCATTCCAAGTCAAGATTCTCTCTATTACCATTTAACCCCTCTTTTACCTTCTACCCCCTTCCTCCCGGTAGTGATTTTTAAAATGAGTTTTGCTGGATATGAATTATTATTTTTAATATATTTATTGAGTTTTTACAGAGAGGAAGGGAGAGGGATAGAGAGTTAGAAACATAAATGAGAGAGAAACATCGGTCAGCTGCCTCTTGCACACCGAACACTAGGGATGTGCCCACAACCAAGGTACATGCCCTTGACTGGAACTTAACCTGGGACCTTTCAGTCTGCAGGCTGACGCTCTATCCACTGAACCAATTAATTATTTTTTAAGTAAATATATTTATCGATTTCAGAGAGGAAGGGAGAAAGATGGAAACATCAATGAAGAGAATCATCGAACAGCTGCCTCCTGTATATCCCCATACTGGGGATTGAGCCCGAAACCAGGCAAGTGCCCTGATTGGGAATTGAACCATGACCTCCTAGTTTATAAGATATGCTCAACCATTGAGCAACACCAGCCAGACTAATTCTTCTTTACTAGAGGCACCGTGGTGCAAGAGTAGGCCTTCCTTCACCAGCTGCCGGCACTGGCTTCCCTCTGGCACCTGGGACCTGAGCTTCCCTTATATAGATTACTTTTTGTGTAGGATTCACGTGACTTCAAATTCTTAGTTGGAGGATTTTATCTGAAGTACTTTATTTTGTTATCAAATATTTATTTGAGGATTTTTTTTTATTTAATAAATCTTTATTGTTCAGATTATTAAAGTTGTTTCTCCTTCTCTCCTCCCTCCCCCATAGTTCTCCTCCACCCAGTTCCCACCCCACACTGTCCTTACCTCTCCTCACTGTCCTCATCCATAGATGTACAATTTTTGTGCGGTCTCTTCCCGCACCCCCCACACTCCTTCCACCCTGAGAATTATCAGTTCATTCCATTTCTATGCCCCTGATTTTATTATATTCACCAGTTTATTCTGTTCCTTAAATTTTAATTCACTTGATTTTTAGATTTTCTTGTTGATATGTATTTGTTGTTCATAATTTTTATCTTCTTCCTCTTTTTAAAGAATATCTTTCAGCATTTCATATAATACTGGTTTGGTGGTGATGAACTCCTTTAGCTTTTTCATATCTGTGAAGCTCTTTTTGTTATTTTTTCCTTTTTGGGAGGTTGGGGGTGGGAATTTTTTATTTTTTATTTTTATTTTATTTATTTATTTTTTAAGTATGAGATCATGGAGAGACACCTTTAAATATATTTTATTGATTTTTTTACAGAGGGAAGGGATAGGGAAAGGGAGTTAGAATCATTGATGAGTGAGAAACATCTATCAGTTGCCTCCTACACACGCCCCACTGGGGATGTGCCCACAACCAAGGTATATGCCCTTGACCGGAATCAAACCCATGACCATTCAGTCCACAGACTGATGCTCTATCCACTGAGCCACACTGGTTAGGTCTGTGAAGCTCTTTATCTGACCTTCAATTCTGAATGATAACTTTGCTGGGTAGAATAATTTTGGTTGTAGGTTCTTGCTATTCATCACTTTGAATTTTTTTCCCCTTTCCAGTCTGGCATGCATAGTTTCTGTTGAGAAATCAGCTGACAATCGTATGGGTGCTCCCTTTTAGGTAATTAACTGTTTTTCTCTTGCTGCTTTTTAATATTCTCTGTCTTTTGCTCTTGGCATTTTAATTATGATGTGTCTTGATGTGGTCCTATTTGGATTCCTTTTGGTTGGGGTTCTGTGCACTTCCTGGACTTGAAAGTCTATTTCTTTTACCAGGTGGGGGAAGTTTTCAGTCATTATTTCTTCAAATAGGTTTTCAGTATCTTGCTCTCTCCTCTTCTGGCACCCCCATAATTCTGATGTTGGTACATTTGAAGTTGTCTCAGAGGCTTCTTACACTATCTTTAAATTTTTGGATTCTTTTTCTTTTTGCTTTTCCAGTTGAGTGTTTTTTGCTTCTTTGTATTCAAATCTTTAACTTGATTGTTGCATTCCTCTAGTCTGCTATTGGGTCTCTGTATAATATTTTTTTATTTCAGACAGTGTATGTTTAATTTCTAGTTGGTCCTTTTTCATTATCCTCGAGGGTCTCGTTAAATTTATTGGCCTTTTCTAGGAAATTCTTGAAAAACCTTATAATTGTGGTTTTGAATTCTGTATCCAGTAGTTTTCTTTCCTCCATTTCTTTCATTTGTGATCGGTTTCTTTGTCTCTGCATTTTGGCTGCTTCCATTAGGGTAGCTTTGTGTGCTATGTGTCCTAAATGGCCCAGTGGCTCTGCCACCCCAGTTCCCTGTGTTGGACACTCTTGGTGTACCCCTTTGTGATCTGTGTGTACAGCCTTGATTATTGCTGGTATCACTGGGAGGAATTGACCAACAGGCTAGTTGGCTGTGAGGATCAGCTGTGTCTATGCCAGGAGAACTTCTGTGCTGGAGACAGCCTTATGAGAGAAGACTTGCAAAATTGCAAAAACCTCTGTGCTCAGCTTGGATGGGGCGGAGTCTCAGGGCTGAGCAGATAGCCTTGGCTTCCCGTCAGCCCTGCCCTATGAGGCCCCTGGGTCTCATTGTCCCTTGGTAATCGCTGCAAGCACCTCGAGTTTCACCCACTGCCAGACAGTCCAGTTTCTCTCTCCCAATGAATCCGGATTCCGAGATTCTCACCCGGAACTAGAGTTCATTTCAGTAGGGAGCTTCCAGTTCCCTCCAGCTAGAGAAAGCCAGCAGCACACTCAGCATTCAGTCCTCTCTGTGGCACACTTGCGTGCGTGCCTCCAGACCTCTGCCTTTCTTGGCTCCCCTGAGTTTCTACCTGATAGTCCAGATTACCCCCATAAGAGCCTGGGTCCCCAGGGCTCGCCCAGAACTGGGGTTTAGTGCAGTTGGGAGCTTTTGACTCCCTCCTGCTAGGGAAAGCCAGCGGCAACCTCAATAGTCAGTCCTCTGCGCGCACTCGCGCGTGCCTTAAGACCCCTGTCTTCTGCGACTCCTTCGAATCTCTGTGTGCCTTTCTCACTACCTTATAGTCCAGGCTCCCCCCCGTATGAGCCTAGGTCCACAGGGTCGCACCCAGAACTGGGGTTCAGTGCAATTGGAACTGGGGTTCAATTGCAGTCGGGATCTTCCTTCTCCCTCCCGCCACAGAAAGCCACTCTTCCTCTCTGCGCACATGTCTCCGTACCTCAGCCCTTTGCAGCTCCTTTGATTCTTCGTGAGCTTTTCTCTTTCCTTCTAGTTGTAGAATTTCCACTCAGCCAGCTTTCCTGTGGTTCTAAATGATGTCTATTCTGTCTTTTAGTTGTAGTTTTGAAATTGTTATGTGAGGCAGCAGTTTAGGTGCTTACCTATGCTACCATCTTGGTTTCCTTTTTCTATTTGAGAATCTTGATGATAATGTGATTATAGATTATTAAAAAGGGCTAATCATAGCCTTAGGCTAGAGGAATTTACTAAGGGAATTTAGAAAAGTAATGTATATTTGTTGAGCAAAATTTTACAAATTTGATCTGTGCTGGGCAACAGATTGCTTTTATAATATCTGTGAAGGAAAAGTTTATGGAGCAAAGTAAGAGAATAGTATTCTTTTATGAATATATATCAGTTACTTTTTTTTTTTAAGTAGGTTAAACAGAGACTTCTAATTGAAATACCTGAGTTAGTCATTAATCTGAATTATTGAGATTTTTGTTGTGTTTTGAACTTTTATTTTAAAAAATGTAAGTAAAATGGATACATAGATCTTAATTTTTAATAGAATTTATTTCTATTAAACAGCACCTGTGGAACCTTCTCAAGAGGAACAGTTGTTGTGTGAAGGTAATTTTCTATGATGTGACTCTTGTACTATTTAATTTGAGAAAACAAGTTGTGTAATGGTGTGTAAAGCTAGATATTGTTTTGTAAATATATATTATATCTCAATTTCTTGTCTAGGTTCAAATTCAGCTGTTAGCATGGAACTTTCAGAACCTGTTGGTAAGAAAATTTCTGACCATATTAATACAGTAATAAGAAACTCTTTCACTCTCAAGATTTAAGGTGCAAATGTAAGTGTTATGATTATTATAATGTCTACATTTAAAACTGACATTGAGTCTTTGCTATGAAGATTTGGACATTAATACTCCTGTGATAAATTTAGTGTTGCAAATATAAAAAAATTAAATGGAGGAATGTTAAAGTCAGTTTAAATAGTTGTATCTCTTCTATTTAGTTGGTCAAAATTTTTCTTCCCTTTTGTAACTTTATTACTCTTAAGGGTTTCATATTCCCAATGTGATTAATAAACTTGAAGCCAAAGTTATTACTTGCAGAGGAAAAAGATCTTCTAAATTCTTCCACACTTTTCCTATGTTCTGATTTAAAATTTTCCCCTCTTTCTTCTGTCAGGACATCTAAACACTGAATTAACAGGGCTGTTGAGAAAGTTAGATCTCCTGCTTACATGTTGTTTGTCCTAATGAAAATAAAACTTTGATAAAATAGCAATTCTCATAATATCTTGCATCAAGCTGTGATGTCAGGAGTGTGGCCAACTTGAAAGCTATTATCCATTTCTGTTGTGAAAGAGACTTTCTTGCTTACGTGTCACTAGACATTAGGAAATGGAGCTAAATATGCAAAATGCCATTTATTGAAAGCATCTATATTTTAAAGTACCTGTATATGTTACAGATCTTCTGTAGAATACTGAATTAAAATGGCTTCTTTCAGTAGAAAATGGAGAGACAGAAATGTCCCCAGAAGAATCATGGGAGCACAAAGAAGAAATAAATGAAGCAGAGCCAGGGGGTGGAGATGGAAAGCCCTCAGAAGAAAATGCCCAAGAAATGATGGAGGAGGAAGAGGAAATACCAAAACCTAAGTCTGTGGTTGCACCACCAGGTGCTCCTAAAAAAGAACATGTAAATGTGGTATTCATTGGGCATGTAGGTAAGTTACTCATAGCTATGATTGAGTACATAAAACAATATCTTTTTTTTAAATTTTTATTTTTAAGAAAATATTTCATTGATTTAGAGAGGAAGGAAGAGGAAAGAGAAATAGCAACATCAATGATGTGAGAGAATCACTGATTGGCTGCCTCTTGCACGTCCCTTACTGGGGATCAAGCCCCAACCCAGGCATGTGCCCTTGGCTGGAATCAAACCTGGGACCTTTCAGTCCGAAGGCTGACACTATCCATTGAGACAAACCAGCTAGGGCAAACAACATTTTTTAAATAACTTTTAGATGTTTTGTGAAACTGAACCATGATTTGCTAGATTTAGCTCGCAGAAAGTTGTCATCAAACACTTTGTTCTCAAAGGGTGGACAGATGAACAGTTTTGTAATGGCATGGAAGCTGGAAGAAAAGAAGCCAGTGTGTTTTTATATAATGCGTAAATTAGCCTTTGATGATAGCTGAGCATGTTATGATATCTTACTATCCTAGGGAATGTGCCTTTTCTATGTGTGAACTTAATTTTATTGTATTAACTTTATTATGTAGTTTAATGTTGTGGAATATGAGAATTAGTAATAGGTTGCTGATTTAGCAACCCCAAAAACCCCACCCACTTGATTTACTTAGATATTTAACTTATCTATCCTCAACATTCTGAGAAGAAAATAGTACAATTATGTGTCCTTTTTTTCCTTCCATTTATCCCCGCCTTCCCCTGAATATGATGATACACCCTTCTACTTTTTTAGTATCAAGAACTCCTTTAAATTTGTATAGGAATACCATTGTCTACTAAAAGTGAAAGGCAGACTACTTAAATGTAGTCACAGCTCTTGGCTATTTTTGTTGTCCTCTAAAGCTCCCTCGGGTTTTTTGTTTTTTTCTTAAAGTAGGTTTTTTTGTTTTTGTTTTTTTAAATACATGTTTTTATTGATTTCAGAAGTGAAGAGAGAGACAGAAACATCAATGATGAGAATCATTGATTGGCTACCTCCTGTATGCCCCCTGCTGGTGATTGAGTCTACAACCTGGGCATGTGTTCTGACCAGGCATGTGACCTCCAGTTTCATAGGTAGATGCTCAAACACTGAGCCATGCTGGCAGGGCTCCCCTTAGGTAATTTATATTCATTTGCTGCCTGGCTCTTAGTTGAAGGTCAGGGAGTAAGCTGTTTAAAAATTGTTTCTTTTGTTCTTTATCAGTAAAGTAGTTGTAAATCATTATCAAGCTGTTAGGGGGACTTAGTAGCTTCTTTTTCCAAGAGAAGAGGTAACTAACTTTCCTACAGTTTCTGTTGCTTTTGCACAATTTAATTATATAGTACATGCTAAACCATATTTCATAGTTCTGTTACGTGTATATACTGGTTGGCTTTTTAAAATATTTTTTTATACCTATGCTTTGCTTATTGTTGATGTTATTACTTTTAGATGCTGGCAAGTCAACCATTGGAGGACAAATAATGTAAGTATATTTTTTCTTATAGAGTTAACTCAATTGAATGAACTTTGGGAATTGTCAACATTCATAAAATACAAAGGAGATAAAACAGATCACCCTAAGTTAAGAAAAATTAATAATAAAATGACATTATCTGTAGAGAAGGCTGTAGTAATTTTTGCAATGTGATCATTAGTATTTTCTGATGGATTATAGGCCATTACTAAAATTCTCTCATCACTGTCAGAATCTCATGTAACATGAATTAAATATATTTCTGAAAATTTCCTTTTACATTTTTTATAAAAACTAATAAAGAACCAACTCTCACTTATAGGAAATTTTACTTTTCTTAAAAATAATAAAAACCTGGTCTTGAACCTGGTTCATGAAGAGAAGTGGCTTTTCCTTATCATCAACTCCTTAAATTTAATTAAATATAAGGTAGTCTGGCTAACATGCTAAGATAATTTTTTATCATATTATATAAGCTATTAAGGTATGAAGACACTATGGTTGGCCTCCAGGAACATATTCTAGTATTGAAAAATCTTTTAAATTCACAGGTCCTAAATATTTAATTCCTCTTAGATTAGATCCATTTTTTAAAGCTGTCATCAGAGGATCTAGAGGGTATATCATTGTCTTGCCTTGTTAAGTAATCTTAATTGATAATCTTGCCAATTCTCACTTTTGAAGCTTCCCCAACAGACTCTAAAACAAGTGTCCTCTTCTAAGGCTCTATATATAGATGTGTTTGGCCCATTTTATTATGTGTTTTAGAAGAATGTATGTTTTTTGCTTATGGGCTATACTTTTGGTAATTCATTGGGATTCTATAATCAAATGGTTAGAAACATGCACTATAGATGACGGCTCAGAGAATCCCATAGAGATGAAAGCCAGAACTGGAATTCCTAAGGAATTATTTTAAAATAACCTCACTTTGAGAAATAATATATTTAAAATATTAAATATTGAAGTATATTAGTAAGATTTAATTGCCTAGACAACACTTGGAATCATTTTTATATAGCATTTTCATTTGCTTTTAAAAAAAAATTAATATATTTTATTGATTTTTTTTACAGAGAGGAAGGGAGAGGGATAGAGAGCTAGAAACATTGACCAGTTGCCTCCTACACACCCCCCACTGGGGATGTGCCTGCAACCAATGTACATGCCCTTGACCAGAATCGAACATGGTACCCTTCAGTCTGCTGACACTCTATTCACTGAGCCAAACCGGTTTGGGCTACATTTGCTTTTTAAAAGAAACTTTCATTGCTTTGGCCAGTGTGGCTCAGTTGTTTGGGTGTCATCTCATGCAGCAAAGAGATTGCTGGTTTGATTCCTGGTCAGGGCACATGCCTGGGTTGTGGGCTGGATTCCTAGTAGGGTGCATACAAGAGGCAATTGATGTTGAGCTCTCACAAAGATGTTTCTCTGTTTTCCCTTCCTCTCTCTCTAAAAATAAACTATTATAAAATAAATAAATAAACTTTTATTCTGAATTAATTTCAGACTTTAAAGAAAGGTTGTAAAAACAATACACAGTTCCCATACACCTTTCACTTAGCATGCCCTAATGGAAACATCTTATATAACTGAAGTATATCATCATTAAAACTAGAAAGCTAATATTGCTATAATACTATTAATTAAACTACAAATCTATTTGACTTTCACCAGTTTTTGCAGTAATGTTTTTCTGTTCTAGAATTCTAATTTGTGTTTAATTATTTTGTCTCTTTTGTCCTCTTGAACTTGCAACATTTTCTCAGTCTTGTCTTGCACCAACTTCATAATTTTTAAAAATATATATTTTATTGATTTTTTACAGAGAGGAAGAGAGAGGAATAGAGAGTTAGAAACATCGATGAGAGAGAATCATCGATCAGCTGCCTCCTGCACACCCCCTACTGGGGAAGTGCCCGCAACTAAGGTACATGCCCTTGACCGGAATCGAACCCGGGACCTTTCAGTCCTCAGGCCAATGCTCTATCCACTGAGCCAAACCGGTTTTGGCCCAACTTCATAATTTGAAGATTGCTATTCAGTTATTTTATAGAATACTAGAGGCCTGGTGCATGAAATTTGTGCACTTGATGGGGGGAAGAGGAGGAAGAGTTCCTCAGCCTGGCCTGCGCCCTCTTGCAGACCAGGAGCCCTCGGGGAATGTCTGATGCAGGCCTAAGCTTTCAGTCAGAAATCCTTAGTGCTGCCACAGAGGCCAGAGAGGCTCCTACTACTGATGCTGCACTTGTCAGCCGTGAGCCCTGCTTAGGGCTTCTGGCTGAGCGGCACTCCCTCTGTGGGAGTGTGCTGACCACCAGGGGGCAGCTCCTGCATTAAGCATCTGCCCCCTGATGGTCAGTGCATGCCATAGTTATGGGTTGTTCTGTGCAATTGATTTGCATATTAGCCTTTTATTATATAAGACTAGAGGCTTGATGGGTGAAAATTGTTCAAGAGTAGACCTTCCTTCCCCCAGCTGCCAGCACCGGCTTTCTTCTGGCACCTAGAATCCGGGCTTCCCTTGCAGCCCCAGCTTTGTTGGGAAGGTTGTCCGGTCTAATTAGCATATTACTGTTTTATTATACTAGAGGCCTGCTGCACAAAATTTGTGCAAGAGTACCTTCCTTCCCCCAGCTGCCAGCACCAGCTATCCTCTGGCACCCAGGATTTCCCTCACAGCCCCAGCTTCATATGGAAAGTCATCTAGAAGGATGTCTAGTCTAATTAGCATATAATGCTTTTATTATTATATTCTTCACTTGGGGTTAACTGATGTTTTTTACAATCACACTGAGGTTGGGCATTTTGGGCAAGAATATCAAAGACATGTTGTGCTCTTCTTAGGGCATTCTGTTAGGGTAAAAAAAGATATTAATATTCAGTATGTTTTATTACTGGTGATGTTTGCTAAAAATTACTTGATTAAGGTGTTACCAGGATTTTCCACCATAAAGTTATGATTTTCCCTCTTTATTTTGTGGGAGATAATTTGAGACTATGCAAATAACTTTTTTACTGAAAGTTTCCTGATTCATGCATCCACCAGAGGTACCTTGACTTCATTATATTTAGAGTTGAAATTCCTTTTTAAGTGATTTAAATTTTTCCTGATTTCATTGAGTATCTTGTGTTTCTTTAAATGTTTTCAGGTATTTGACTGGAATGGTTGACAAAAGGACACTTGAGAAATATGAAAGAGAAGCTAAAGAGAAAAACAGAGAAACTTGGTATACTTTTTGATACTATAAATTACTTGTAAGGAAATGCTGCCCACTTAATGTGTTTGTAGTCTACTGAAATGGTGTAACAAAGAAGTTTCTTTCCCCTCACACTACATAGTAGATCATTTCCCAATGACTTCAAAACTTGCACAGAGAAAGTTTGGAAACATCCAATAATAAAAGGCTTGTTGAATATATTCTAATTGGGCCATTATCTAACCACTATAAAATTGCATTTAAAGTAACCAGAAATAGAATATGTTACAGTGGAATTTGGAGAGAAAGCAGGAAACAGTATAGTACTTAGGACATGATCATTAACTATGTAAATAAACAATTGAGAGAAAAATAATTGAAGGAATTATTTTTAATTTTTATTATTTTTTAAAATATATTTTATTTATTTATTTTTTAAATCAATCTTTATTGTTCATATTATTACAAAGGTTCCTCGTTTCTTCCCCCCTCCACCAGGTTCCCACCACCACCCTCTGCCCTTTCCCTACCCCCCATTGTCCTCATCTATAGGTGCACAGTTTATGTTCAGTCTCTTCCTGCATCCACCACTCCCCTTTTCCCCGAGAATTGTCAGTCCACTCCCCTCACGTATCTCTGATTCTATTATAATCAACAGTTAATATTGTTCATCAGGTTTTTTAATTTCCTTGTTTTTTTTAATTAATAAACTTTTATATTTTTAAGAATAAATTTTAAAATCTAATAATTTTAAACCTTGTTTTTTCTGCCCTGGGAACTGAGAAGCAAACTTGTTTACATGTAAACTTGCCCTTAGGCTTCAAAAAGCATAGCCATTCAAATGTAAATGAACACATTGATTTTATTGATTTTTTTACCGAGAGGAAGGGAGAGGGATAGAGAGCTAGAAATATCTGAAGAGAGAGAAACATAGATCAGCTGCCTCCCGCACACCCACCCACAACCAATGTACATGCCCTTGACCGGAATCGAACCTGGGACCTTTCAGTCCGCAGGCTGACGCTCTACCCACTGAGCCAAACCAGTTTGATGACTGAAGGAATTATTGACAATGATTCCATTGAATAGTGAGAGAAAAGGTCAACATTTTTCAGTTTTCTAACCTTATCTATTTTATATTTTAAAAGTTAAGCTTATCTGAATGAAGCATTGGTGTGTTTTTAGTTGTTATCTTGCTCTGTAAAGGGAAAAATCCTAATGAGTATACTATGAAATACAGATAATGCCTACTATTATGGATGAATTGAACTTAAATAATTTTTACATGGCAAATAATATTGAAATAATTTTAGCAAGAAACTATTGCTCCCAAGTGGCACGTTTTCAGCCTTCATGTTAAAAAGACATCCTTAGACAGCCATTAATTGTATTATATTTTGTGACAGATTATTATAAAAATGAAATATAGAGGAACTTATTAATTTACTAGAGGCTCATGTGAGATTGAAATAGTGCAAAGAAGCACCCCGCAGGGGGCCAGCCGCCACGTTGTGTCCACTGGGATGGAGGCAGGTGCTCCTAGGTGTTGTGTGTCCATTCTGTCCTGCCCCCAGCTCCAGCCTCCCAGTGGCTGCTGGGGCTAGGGGCGGCATGCAGTCCCCTCCCTCCCATCTGCCTGCAGAGCTCCTGAGTGGTGACACCCAGCTAATTAGCATATTCCCTGTTTATATATAGACTAGAGGACTGATGTATGGAATCCATGCAAGGGGCTCAGCCCTCACAGCAGCCTCAGCTCGCAGCCCTAGCTTGGTTTGGAAGGTTGTCCAGAAGGTTGTTTGGCTGTCCGGGCTAATTAGTATATTACTAATTAGTATAGACTAATTTTATTGTTATAGATGGTGATATTAGCATTGGTACTTAAAGTAGTCTTTCTGTGTATGTTTCAGCTATTTTCATAAATAATGTTTGCTTCTAGAAGAAATGGTTGACTATGGATATATGTGAAAGTTTCAAGTGTTTGAACCACATTAATATAAACTTTATTCTCTTAATTTTCAATTCTGTCTAGTTCTGTTATTGGTTTAAATGTTGTATGATGGACATAAAGCTAGATGTCATCAATTACACCTTTAATGGTAGAAGAATATCTCAGAAATTTTCATGTTCTTATCAGTATTATTATTTTAAAATTATTTCAGGTACTTGTCTTGGGCCTTAGACACAAATCAAGAAGAACGAGACAAGGGTAAAACAGTAGAAGTGGGTCGTGCCTATTTTGAAACAGAAAAGAAGCATTTCACGATTCTGGATGCCCCTGGCCATAAGAGTTTTGTCCCAAATATGATTGGTGGTGCTTCTCAAGCTGATTTGGCTGTATTGGTAAGAAAGACATTTCTAATTCACCTTCATATTTGTTAGCAACCCCACTTAAAATTTTTAAAAAATACATTTTTATTAAGAGAGGAAGGAAGAGGGGGAGAGAGATAGATATATCAATGATAAGAAAGAATCATTGATTGGCTGTCTCCTGCACGCTCCACACTGGGGAGTAAAATCCTCAACCCAGACATGTGCCCTGACACTTTTCCACTGAACCATGCAGGTTGGGTCCCACTTGAATTTTTAAATATTTGAGTTTATCTGTAAAAGCTGGAATTTAGGTTTTGGTGAACTGTAATATACATGGTTACAATTTTTACTTTTTTTTGCTGATCTGTGCAAGAAGTCTATAATTTAGTTTTCTTATGAAAATACTAGTGGCCTGGTGCATGAAATTTGTGCTTGGTGGGGAGGGGTGTTCTTCAGCTTGGCCTGCACACTCTCTAATCTGGAACCCCTTGAGGGATGTCTGACTGCCAATTTAAGTCTGATCCTTGGCAGTTGGCTATTCCTCTCATAATCTTGACTGTTTGCCTCTAACTGGTCACCTGCCTGCCTGCTCCTAAGCACTCTGCCTGCCAGCCTTCTCACATCCAACTGCTTCCCCCCTTGCCGGCCTAATCGCCCCAACTGCCCTCCACTCCTGGCCTGATCGCTAGAAAGCTTCTGATAAAACTGAAAGGAAAGACGTTTTATTGCTAAAAGGCTATACCTGAGTGTGTAAGAATAAACTGTTTGACTTCTGGGAATAGGTAATCTCTGCCAGGAAAGGAGAGTTTGAAACTGGATTTGAAAAAGGAGGACAGACGAGAGAACATGCAATGTTGGCAAAGACAGCAGGTGTAAAACACTTAATTGTACTCATTAATAAGATGGATGATCCAACAGTGAATTGGAGCAATGAGAGGTAAGCTTACATACCTTACTGGTTTGTTATAGACATGTTAGTGAAATAAAGGATGTTTTTGTTATTATATGTTTTTCTCCTGTGGTTTTTCTAAACCTCATTTTAAAAAATGAAACGAGTTCAACTGCTTTATATTAAAATTGGATTATTTATAAATGTTATAGATATGAAGAATGTAAGGAGAAACTAGTGCCATTTTTGAAAAAAGTTGGCTTCAATCCCAAAAAGGATATTCACTTTATGCCCTGCTCAGGACTGACTGGAGCAAATCTTAAAGAGCAATCAGATTTCTGTCCTTGGTACATGTAAGTAATCTTTTTTTTCCTTTGTTTGTGTCTTAATAAGTAATTTAAGAAATTAATGAATGTAACTTTGGCTTTAAAAATACCAGGAACTTTGGCTTTAAAAATACCAGGAACTTTGCCCATTTCTAATTGCCCATTTTTAATTGGGTTATCTTTTTCTGATTGAGTTGTAAGAGTTCTTTGTGTATGGGTACAAGTCCCTTATCAAATATATGATGTGCAAATGTTTTCTCCTATTCTGTGGGAGATCTTTTCACCTTCTTGATGGTGTCCTTTGAAGCATAAAAGGCTTTTATTTTTTATTAAATCTAGTTTATTTGCCTACTTTTTTAATAAGGTGAACTCTTGATTATTATATAGCTTTGTAAGTTTTCAAATTGGAAAGGGTCTTTGAATTTTGTTATTTCCCCAAGATTGTTCAGTTATTCTGGGTTCTTTGAATTTCCATATAAACATTAGGATCAGCTTGACATTTTCTGCAAAAAAGGCACTTGGGATTTCAACAGGAAATGGATTTGTAGATAGTTTGGAGAGCATTGCCATCTTGACAGTATTTTATGTGTCCTATAAAGAGTAGCTTTAAAGGGGAAATTATTTTATAGAATCTTCATTTCAAAGCTGGAAAAGTCCATAAAATTTAAGAAAAAGAGTGCAGTCATTTATTACAGCATGTAGGCTATTTGTTATAAAATATTTTTCTAAATCTCATGTTTATGGGAAGGTTTTTCATATTATATTCAGCTACTTTGTTTTTAATTTTCTCAGGAATAAAATGAAACAAATTAAATAATAAATTGGATTAATGAGATGAGTACATGGGTGGAATGAAAACATAATCTTTTTTTTGCATAAAGTTACAGACATGAAACAATATTTTGATATTTATATTGACTCTCTTTAATGGATATTGTTATGTTCTCAGTGGATTACCATTTATTCCATATCTGGATAATTTGCCAAACTTCAATAGATCAGTTGATGGACCAATCAGGCTGCCAATTGTGGATAAATACAAGGTACCCAAAATGTTCAAGAAATTGGGTTTTATGGGATATGAAATAATTGTTTTGTGTTTTGTTTTAAATTATGAAATCATTAACAACAACATAAATATTTCTTTTTAATGGCTGCATATTATTTTGTGGTATAGACGATAATTTATTCAACCAGCTTAAATCATTTCATCTGTTTCCCAATGAGCCAACAATCTTTTATTTTTTTAATTATTTTAAAAAATGTATTTTATTGATTTTTGAGAGAGGAAGGGAGAGAGATAGAGAGTTAGAAACATCGATGAGAGAGAAACATCAATCAGCTGTCTCCTGCACACCTCCCATTGGGGATGTGCCCGAAACCAAGGTACATGCCCTAGACCTGAATCGAACCTGGGACCTTTCAGTCTGCAGGCCGCTGTTCCATCCACTGAGCCAAACCGGTTAGGGCGAGCCAATCATCTTTTAGAGAGAAACTCATACAAGTGAAAGTGCTAGAGTCAAAAGGATTTGCACATTAAAGTTTATGCATATTGACAAATAACCTTTCAGAATACTGTACTAATTTATATTGTTACCAGGAGTATATGAGTGCTAGTTTTACCACCTCACCTAACTGGATGTTCTACTTAAAAAAAAAAAAAAAAAAAAAAAAAAAAAAAAAGCATCATTATTTTTAACTGCAATATCAGTGTAATGTTTTGTCTCTCCTCAAATACTTTATTGTTAAATCCTCACCCGAGGACTTGTTTTTATTGATCTTAGAGAGAGGAACGGGTGGGGAGGGGGGTGGGAGAGAAAGAGAGAGAGAGAGAGAGAGAGAGAGAGAGAGAGAGAGAGAGAGAGAGAGAGAGAGAGAGAATATCATTGTGAGAGTGAAACATTGATTGGTTGCCTCCTCCTGGGGGATCATCCTGAAACCTGGGTTTGTGCCCTGGCCAGGAATTGAGCTCTTGATCTTTTGGTGTACAGGAATATGCTCCAACCAAGCCACATCAGCTAGAGCTCCATACAGGAATTCTTGAACAAGTATTGCTTTTTCAGTTTTATAGATGAAGAAACAGACTCAGAAATTGCAAGACCCTGAACAAATAATTCAGATCTTCAAACAAAATTCTGTGCCATTTCCTGTACCATGCTTTGTTTTTAAAAGTTAGACATACTTATATATTGGTACTATAGTTGTGCACATGCTTATGATGCAGGTATTATAGATTACTTTTTACCTATCTTGTATTTAAGATTAATTTTAAATATTATACTACTTGTTCTAATGAATTAATTAATTAATTAATTAATTAATTAATTTATTTATTTATTTTTAATGAATAAGCCATGCAAGATTTCATATGGGGTTTGTTGAACTGTTGTAGAGTGGTAATAAAAATCTGAAACTTTTTTTATTCACAATTTCAACAGGATATGGGCACTGTGGTTCTGGGAAAGCTGGAATCAGGATCTATTAGTAAAGGCCAGCAGCTTGTGATGATGCCAAACAAGGTAAGAATTAGTAAAGATGTTCTTTCTCATTTAGCTTTTCTCTTGAAAATTTTAGCAAGAGGCCAGGATTTTTCAAAAGTTTAGGGATTTCCACAAAAATAAACTTAACTTAAAATTCGGGATTACACTTATTAATGTCAGATATAAAACTGAAGAAAAAAATGTGGTGTTATTCATTGACAAATGGGGAGAGATCAATGTTAGCACAGTGGTAGAGCTAAAAGATGCACCAAGAGAACTTCAACTCTTTTATTTTACAAGATGGGAGAGATCTGGAGTGATTAAGTGACTTGCTTCCATTAATATACTGGATTAATAAGTGAGCCAAGGATGAAAACACAGGTTTAATTATGATACAGTTATCTTTCTTTCTCTTTTTGTATGTGGTTACATTGGATACTATAACATATTATGTCTAAGCTATGTTCCTAATTTGTTTTAAGCATAAAGTATTTATTTTTATCATAAACTAGGAGCCCAGTGCATAAAATTTGTGCCTGGGTAGGGTGCCTAGTGGCTGCCAGCTGCGCCTCCTCCTGGTAGAAATATCATAGTAAGCAAGCAATTGAATTCCCGGTTGGTCAAACTCCCGAGGGTACACTTTGCATATATATATGTCTTAATTCTTTCCTACTTATTGTGATTTCTTCATCATTGGAGGGGGTTATATTAAAACATGCAATATTTCTGAATTATTCCTTTGTGTTATTTGTGACTGCTCACTTAGTGATATTTATAGATGACATGTTACTAAGAAAGTTACCCGTTTTCCAGAGAGGACTTCTCTAAAATCTCCAAATATGTTGTTTAATGTAGGGAAATATACCTGAATCATCAGATCTTCATAACAGAGATTTTATTAGATTTAAATGAGAATTTCTTTACTATGCTCAATTCCAGGCTCAATGAATTAGAAAAGATGTCTATTGTCAATGTATGTTTAAGTATAATAGACACCTTACAAATTATACTCTGGGGTTTCTTGATGCCTTATGCATTGGGGATTAGAGTATTCCACCATAGTATTTTTTTTCCTAGAGTGTTTCTGTTTTAAAGCCTACTTTTTCTGCAACTTGTAAGTCAGTGACAACTGAATGAAAATAATAGTCAGTTTGAATTCTTGCTGAATTTTGTCTGTAGTCATTAGAAATATTGCTTATCATGGGAGATGGAAGTGGGATTGGTGGTTGCTAGGGATTGCGGGAGGAAGAATGGGGAGTGACTGCTTAATGGGTACAGGGTTTCCTTTTGGAGTGGTGAAAAGTTTTGGAACTAGATAGTAATTATGATTATAGGACATTATGTGAATGTATAGATGCCACTGAATTGTACAGTGTAAAATGATTTAAAAAGACAAATGTTATGTGGTGAGTATTTTACCACCACAGAAAAAAAAGTACAATTCACTATAGGCAAGAGCCTTAACATACTAGCTAAAGACCAGGAGTGGGGAATATCCAGCCTGTGAGCTTTGGTCTGGCCCTGCCAAGGCATTAGGGGCAAGTTAACGGGCTAATTTTTTTTTAAGTTGATAATTTTATATGGCCCACAAATGATGCTATAAATATCCACATAGTCTTTGGCAGAAAAATGTTCCCCACCCCTGTTACAGAGTGGCTGTTCTCTGTGGTAGCTGTCACTTTATACTAATTACTTACTGGGCAGGTATAGCATATCTTATAGTTGGTTAAGTGAGCCTTAAAAACTCAGTTTACTTTTGTCCTCAGTCTTTTTGGAACAGAGTTAAATATTTAAAAGATACAGATGTCATACCGCTTTACATTTGAAAATTAATGCGTAAGGCAATCTATAGAATTGGAGAAAATAACTGCATATTCTAAATCTGATGAGGTTAATATCCAGAATATATAAACAGCTCCTACAACTCAACACACTCACAAAATCAAGCCACCTGACTAAAAACACAAGCAAAAAGCTTAAATTTACATTTCTCCAAAGATATACATGAAAAAAGTGATCAACATCACTAATCATTAGGTAAATGCAAATCAAAATCATAATCAGAAAATATTTTACACCCATCTATATGGCCACTATAAGAAGACAAACCAGAAATTAGCTGTGGCCAGATAGCTCAGTTGGATGGAGGGTCACCCTGTATATTGAAAACAGAGCCTCAAAGAGATATTTGTACACCCAAGTTCATAACAGCATTGCTCACAGTTGCAAAAAGGTGGAAGCAAGCCAGGTGTCTGATGGATTAACAGATAATCAAAATGTACATATGTAAAAGTGGATTATTATTCAACCACAGGAAAGGAAATTCTGACATATGCTATACAATATGGATAAATCTTGAGGACGTTATGCTGAAATAAACCAGTCACAATATTCCAGTTTTATGAGATATCTAGAGTAGTCCTCAGATTTCATAGAAGCAAAGTAGATGGTGGTTTCCAGGGCTTGTGGGAAGGGAAGAATGGGGAGTTGTTTAATTGTGTAGTTTCAACTTTATAAGATGAAAATTTTTCAGAACTCAAGATTGGTTGTATACAGTATGTACTTAATACTACAGGACTGACAAAATGTTCAAGGGGATAAATTTTATGTTCTGAATTTTACCATAATATTTTAAAAGTATTTAAAAATTGAGAAAAATTAAAAATTGGTCATTTTTAATTTTACTATTTACAAAATTGTTCTAATGTACAGATTAATATTTAGACCTTTTTTAGATTGCTAGTTTGTTAACTTCTGGTTCCTAAGGAGTCTTTGGAAGCCTATGCTTTTAATGCCTGCATTACTTCTACATCCTATGCTTGGCTATAGCAGTAAAGTAAAACAAAATAAATCATGTTGGAGGATAAACTCTGTGATGGAATTTCTGAATATTGCTCTAATATTTACAAATTGGCTTTAAGTTTGTATGCAAAGTTAACTGAATCTGCAAGTTTAGTGCAAAGTGGCTTTCCCCACACTTCAGTGCAGTAATCTGAATGCTCATTTCTGAGATACCAAAAGGATATTGTATAAACTCCAGCTCATATGTTAGTAGGAATGTGGACTCAACCATTTAAGATCATGTGCTATATAATTGGTAAACATATTGCAGGCTTGTCTCCAAAACTTTTTGAACTGATAAGACAGGGTATCACACTCCAGTCAAGACAATGGGCATCTATCTAGGAAGACAATTGCAGATATCCTTTACTTAGAAATGTTAACCACTTATCTCTGCCAAATTGCTTAAATATAGCCTAAAATCACTCCTTTGCACAGCTGCATGTTGGGTCTCTAGAGAATAAGGAGATGTTTAGTTATTTTTAATACCTTTCATAAACTAAGAAAAGTTGTTAGCCTTAATCTTAATTTTTGAGTAGTTACCGTGAACAGTAATGATTCCTTCGTGGGGAGTATAAAGGAAAGGCTTCCCAGAGGGGATAGAGTCCACCTGCTCTTCTTTTTAAAATAAATTTTTATTGCTCATATTATTACAAATGTTCCTTTTCCCCCCTCTTCCCCTCCATTGCTCTCCTCCACCAGGTTCCCACCCCACCCTCTGCCCTTTCCCCACCCCCCATTGTCCTCATCCATAGGTGCACAGTTCAGTCTCTTTCCACAACCCCCTCTTTCCTTTTCCCCAAGAATCATCAGTTCATTCCCCTTAAATACCTCTGATTCTGTTATATTCAACAGTTAATATTGTTCATCAGATTTTTTTTTAATTTCCTTGGTTTTTAGATTCACTTGTTGATAGTTACGTATTTGTTGTTCATAATTTTTATCTTTATTTATTTCTCTTTGGAAAGAACCCCCTTCAGCAATTCATATAATTCTGGTTTGGTGGTGGTGAAATCCTTTAGCTTTTTTTTATTAGTGAAGCTCTTTATCTGGCCTTCGATTCTGAGTGATAGCTTTGCTAGATAGATTATCTTTGGCTGTAGGTTCTTACTATTTATCACCTTGAATATTTCTTGCCATTCCCGTCTGGGCTGCATGGTTTCTGTTGAGAAATCAGCTGACAATCGGATAGGTGCTCCTTTGTAGGTAACTACCTGCTTTGCTCTTGCTTCTTTTAATATTCTCTTTGTCTTTTGCTCTTGGAATTTTAATTATGATGTGTCTTGGTGTGGTCCTCTTTGGATTCCTTTTGTTTGGAGTTCTGTGCGCTTCCTGGACTTGTAAGTCTAATTCTTTCACCAGGTGGGGGAAGTTTTCTGTCACTATTTCTTTCAGTATGTTTTCGATATCTTGCTCTCTCTCATCTTCTGGGACCCCCATAATTCTGATGTTGGTTCGCTTGAAGTTGTCCCAGAGGTTTCTTACATTATCTTCAATTTTCTGGATTCTCTTGCCTTCTTGCTTCTGCAGAGGAGTGTCTTCTGGCTCTTTATGTTCCAAATCTTTGACTTGACTCTTGCGATCTTCCATTCTGTTTTTAGGACTCTGTATGATATTTTTTATTTCAGACAATGTATTCTTTATTTCTTGTTGATCCCTTATCATTTCTTGATGATTCCTTATTAATTCTAGTTGATCCCTTTTCATATCCTCATAGGTCTTATGGATCTTTTCTAGGAAATTCTTGAAAAACCTTATAAGCGTAGATTTGAATTCTATATCCAGTCGCTTTTTGTCCTCCATTTCTTTCGTTTGTGATCTATTTCGTCTCGGCATTTTCGCAGCTTCCCTGATAGGGCAGGGTTTCAGGGTGGAGCCTACAGCTTTGTCTCTCGTCAGCCCCACCCTATGCGGCTCCTGAGTCTCAGGGTCCTTCTTGCAAGCGCCTACTTGCAAGCGCCTCTGAGACAAAGGTGCCCTAGATTTTCGCCTGCTACCAAACAGTCTAGTCTCTCCCCCAATGGGCCCAGAACTGGGGTTCAGTTCAGTTGGAAGTGGAGTTGGAGGTGGCCTTCAGAGCAGTCTGGAGCCCCTGTCTCCTTCCTGCCAGGGCAATCCCGGGGCACAGCCAACTGTCCCTTCTCTGAGTGCAATGTGCGCCCTCTCCGGGACCTCCTTTCGCCGCTCCCCCAGGGTTCCGCCTTACAGCCCAGCTCCCTCTGTGTGAGCCTGGGTCCCCGGGGTCTGGCCTAGAACTAGGGTTCAGAGCAGTCGGAACTGGGGCCCAGCACAGTCGGGGCTTTTATCTCCTTCCCGCGAGGGAACACCAGCCAGGCACTCAGCCGCCCTTCTTCTCCGGCTCCATCCTCTCCGCTTGCGAATGTCTCCGTACTTTAGGCTTTTAATCTCCTCTGCTTTTCCTTCTGATTTTTCTCCTTACTTCTCGTTGTAGAATTTCCAGTCAGTCGACTTTCCTGTAGTTCTGGGTAATATCCATTTTATATTTTAGTGAAATTATTGTGTGCGGCTGCAGCTAGGTGTTTACCTGTGCAGCCGTCTTGGATTCTCCCACGTGCTCTTTTTTTTTTTTTTTTTTTTAATATATTTTACTAGAGGCCAATGCACAAAGATTCGTGCAAGAATGGGCCTTCCTTCTCCTGGCTGCTGGCTCCGCCTTTGTCCTAGCCAAGAGTGGTTGGGGTGGTGCGAAATGCCTGCGTCATGGCAGTGAGACAAGTGTCTCTCCCCCAGCTGCTTGGCGCCTATGCATGCAAATTAACCCACCATCTTTGTTGGGCTAATTTGTATATTCATTCCTGATTGGCTGGTGGGCATCATGGAGGTATGTTTCACTTTTATTAGTATAGATTTTTTTTTTTTTTTTAACAGAGAGGAAGGGAGAGAGAAAGAATTAGAAACATCAATGAGAGAGAAACATCAATCAGCTGCTTCCTGCACACCCCCTACTGGGGATGTGCCTACAACCAAGGTACATGACCTTGACCGGAATCGAACCTGGGACCTTTTAGTCTGCAAGCTAACGCTCTATCCACTGAGCAAAACCAGATTCGGCTGCCTGCTCTGTTTTTAAAGGTTGACTGAGATCACCAAGTGGATTAAGTTAATCTTACACTAGCTCTTATTGTGTTTAGCAATATAAGGCCATAGGGATTGTTATGTTGGGTTATTACGGCAAAAAATATAATGAATAATAGTTTGTACCTGGTGGAACTGCTAAGTTCTACCCCTTTATCCTGCTGTTACTATAAAGAACTTAGCTAACAAAATATGGCTCTACTTCACTTCTTAGGATGAATTTCAGTAGAACAGGTATCATTAAGGCATTAGCTACTTTTTGGGAAAGAATATCATTATGCGGGAGAGAGGTAAAGGTACTGGAGTTTAGCAAGTGACTGTAGCATTCTGGTATGGAATATATTGATTCTGCATTTTTCACTGATCATCTATCATAAGGAAATTCAATTTTGTCTTGAAGGGCTATTTTGTTTGGTTTTCTGGTATATATTTTTTGAAAATATTTTTTTTCCTATTTTGATTTTAGAGGAAGGGAGGGGGGAGAGAGAGAAACATGTGAGAGAGAAATACTAATCAGTTGCCTCCTGCCCACAGCCAACCAACCTACTACCTGGCACATGCTCTGACTGGGAATCCAACCAGTGACCTTTTGGTACATGGGATGATGCTCAACTAATTGAGCCATACCAACTAGGGCAGTTTTCTGGTTGATGTTTTAAAATTCTGAATTATCTCAAAGGGCACAAATGGGAATACTTGTGGGTTTGCTTTTACCACTTTCCTATCTGTATATCTTTCTAAAACATTTTTGTGTAACTATCACCATTAGTTTCAGAATATTTTATCACACCAAAAGGAAAACCTGTAATCATTAATCAGTATGCTTATTTAAAATCCTTTCCCATCTTGCAACCATCAAAATATTATCTAAACATTCAATATTATTTTGTTGTTGTGTTTATTCCTCACCTTAGGACATGGTTATTGATTTTAGAGAGAGAGGAATCTTGGGGGAGGAAAGGAGAGAGAAAGAGAAAGAAAAAGAAACAATCAAGTAGTTGCGGTTGCCTCCTGTACTTATGTATCTACACCAGAGATCAAACCCACGAGTTAGAGATGCTCCCTGACTGGGAACCTGCAATCCTTTGGTGTATGGGACGACACTCCATCCAACTGAACCACACTGGCCAGGTGGACCAATATTCTTTTAAGCTTACTTCAAACAACTTCTAAAAAGTATACTCTTGCCCTCACCATATTTGCTAAGTGCCTAGAGTGTTGGCCTGCCCACCAAAGGGTTGTGGGTTTAGTTCCCAGTCAAGGGCATGTACCCCATCCTCTTGTCTGTGTCCATCGGTAATGCATATCTATATATACCGTGTTTCCCTGAAAATAAGACATCCTCCGAAAATTAGACCTGCTTACAGGTTTCCTTCTGAGTGAAATATAAGGCATCCTCCCCCCCTTGAAAATAAGGTCCCCCCCCCCCCAGGCTAAACATGAGAGATTTGGTCCACTGATTCTGAAAGAAATGGAGTCACAAGAAATTCACCAGGAAATTCAGGAATTGGATTGTTATGATGATGTTCCAGAATATGATGACATGATTGTCATTGAATAAATGAGTAAATTCTTGATACTGTAGGATTCACAGTTTGTCTGGTTTGTGTTGACAACTACCGTACCCGTATACAGGTAATACATTTCCTTTATTTTCATTTTAACAATAAATGTGTACCATCATCTTCTTCATGGAAAAATAAGACCTAGCACATCTTTGGGAGCAAAAGTTAATATAAGACACTGTCTTATTTTCTGGGAATCAGGATATATAAAAGCCTGAGAGACTGGAGGACCAGATGACCAACCGGTAGTTATGACATACACTGACCACCAGGGGGCAGATGCTCAACGCAGGAGCTGCCTCCTGGTGATCAGTGCACTCCCACAGTGGGAGTGCCCCTCAGCTGACAGATGGGCACCAAACACCAGGCTCAAGGCTGGCGAGTGCAGTTGTGGCTGTGCAAATCTCTATCCCACCTGGGCTCTTTCTCGCCTGCCTGCCGCTTCTCACACTACTATATACCCCAAGCGCTCTTGGATTGTGAGAGGTCCCAGGCCAGGCAGAGGGATCCCACTGGTGCATGAATCTATGCACTGGGCCTCTAGTATGCATATAAGTTCTTTGGTTCATCTCTTCCCACTGTCCCCCTTCATCAGTCTGTTCCATGTTTCCATGCCTCTGGTTCTGTTTTACTCATCAGTTTATTCTGTTAATTAGATTCCTTGTTTGATTTTTTTTTTTTTTTAGATTCAATTGTTGATATTTATTGTTCATACTTTTTATCTTCTTTTCCCCTTCTCCTTCCTCTTAAAGAATACCTTTCAACATTTCATGTAATAATGGTTTGGTGGTGAAACTTTTATTTTTTTGTTTGTGAAGCTCTTTATCTGACTTTTCAATTCAAAATAATATCTTTGCTGGCATGTTTCTTGGGTTTATTGGGGTTTATCTTGTTAGGACTTTCTCTACTTCCTGGTTTATTTCTTTTATCAGGTAGGGGAAGTTTTCTGTCATTATTTCTTCAAATAGGTTTTCAATTTCTTGCTACTTTTCTTTCCTGCATCCCTGTGATACATATGTTGGTATACTTAAAGTTGTCACAGTGGCTCTTTACACTATCTTCTTTTAGGATATTTTTTCCTTTTTGTTTTTCTGATTGGGTGTGTTTTGCTTCCTCATATTCCAAATCACTGAAGTGATTCTTGGCATCCTCTACTCCGTTGATTTACTGTAAATTATTCTTCATTTTAGTTAGTGTATCCATCATTTCTGACTGGTCCCTTTTTCATGCTTTTGATATTCTAAGTTAATTCTTTGATATTCTCACTAAGTTCCTTGAAACTCAAATTAATTTCCTCGAGCATCTTTATAATCATTGTTTTGAACTCTGTATCTGGTAGTTTGCTTCTATTTCATTTAGTTCCTTTTCTGGAATTTTCTTTTGTTCTTTCATTTGTGACATGTTTGTCTCTGCATTTTGGTTGCTTCCCTGTGTTTGTTTCTAAGTATTGGGAGAACTGCTATGTCTCCTGGAATTGATAGAGTGGCCTTGTGTAGTAGATGTTCTGTAGAGTCCAGTGACTCAGTCACTTGAGCAGGGCAATGCTAGGTATGTCCCAGTGTGGGCTGTGTGCACTGCCCTGTTGTAGTTGAGCCTTGATGGGTGTTACTCTCTCTGGGAGGTATTGACCCCCAAGCAAAATATGAGAACCAGCTGTGACTGCAAAAGAAGAGCTGCTGTGCAGACGACACCCCTATGGATCAGGACTTGGCTCAGTAAGGCTTTTGGTGCTCACAGTTTGCTCCTTGAGAGTGATGCTGGTGGATGTAGTAAAGTTGTAATCTGGAGTGATCTGAAGCTGTCCACCAGGCACCCAGGAGGTACAAATGGATAACAGGTCATTATAATTGGTAGTTGTTGGTCAAGTTATGATTTTCATTGAAGTTCACATCATACAAATGTAGTAAGTATTTTGGATAATCAACAAGCACAGAAAAATGCAACAACTCAATAATGAAGTTCACATCATACAAATGTATCAGAAAACCTCCAATCTCGGTTCTTTTTAAGCACAACGTGGAAGTTCTTGGAATCCTTTCTGATGATGTAGAAACTGATTCTGTGGCACCAGGTGAAAACCTTAAAATCAGACTGAAAGGAATTGAAGAAGAGGAGATTCTTCCAGGATTTATACTTTGTGATCCTAATAATCTTTGTCATTCTGGACGCACATTTGATGCCCAGGTAAACCCGTTATTATAGTTATCTCACTGACCTTTACTGTGCAAGTGAAATATGAATTTAAATGTCCTTTGTCCAGGTTATTGATGACATGTCATCATGTATAGAAGGGGAATTGAAATAGAATAAATCGTGTGTGTGTTACAACAGCCATAAGGTATCTTACAACATAAGGTCTTCTTATTGATTAGATAGTATTCTTTGTAAATTCCTTATTTTCTTTTTTCTTTTTTTTTTCTTTTTAAATATATTTTATTGATTTTGTACAGAGAGGAAGGGAGAGAGATAGAGAGTTAGAAACATCGACGAGAGAGAGTCATCGATCAGCTGCCTCTTGCACACCCCCCACTGGGGACATGCCCGCAACCAAGGTACATGCCCTTGACCGGAATCGAACCCGGGACCTTTGAGTCCCCAAGCCGACGCTCTATCCATTGAGCCAAACCGGTCCCGGCTAAATTCCTTATTTTCTAATGTTATATCATTACTCAGTGTCTTTCACTTTAATTAAAGCAAATTGCTTTGGAAGTCATGGTTTGTCTGCTCCTTTAGCACAAATAACTCTCCAGACAGAAAAACATGCCCAATTTTTTCATATTAGTAACCTGCCCTCCCCAGGAGAGCGACAGTAAATTATTGGTGTAGCTCACAGGATTTTTCTGTTATTTTACAAGGTATAATAACTAATGAAATTAAATTCTGATGCCAGGTATAAGGTTGTTTACCTTTCCTGGACCTTACATATTGAAAAATGGATAAAACTATGATAAGTTCATATGGGGGGAGGGGAGTAGTATGTGAGCAGAATGATTCCTTGGGGGAGGTTTAAGGGAACGGTTTCCCTGAGGGGAAAGAGTTTGCCTACTGTTTTGAAAGTTTGACGGGGCACTTGCCAAGAAGATCAGTAGGTTAAGAGATATCAGAGTTCGTTCTTCGAGGTCAAGTGACCTGACTATCACTTGTAACACAAAAATAACTTTTACGATGGTGACTTACATATTCTTGTGATATTATATTCACTTTAGCACATTCAATTATTTTTTTGCCCTTGGTATAAAGATGTGAATTTTTTTTTTTTTTTTTTTTTTTTTTTTTACAGATAGTGATTATAGAGCACAAATCCATCATCTGCCCAGGTTATAATGCGGTGCTGCACATTCATACCTGTATTGAGGAAGTTGAAATAACAGTGAGTATTAAGATAAATGGGGGTTTTGTTTGTGTATTTTAAGACCATTTCATCTTGATAATTTCTGACCAACAGTAGTGATGTACTCTTATTTGCATGCCTATTCTTAATTTAATGATTCTTTTATTTGGCATTATTCTGATGTCTTTTCATCCTTTTATCTTGAATAGGCCTTAATTTGCTTGGTAGATAAAAAATCAGGAGAAAAAAGTAAAACTCGACCCCGTTTTGTGAAACAAGATCAAGTATGCATTGCACGTTTAAGGACAGCAGGAACCATCTGCCTTGAGACCTTTAAAGACTTCCCTCAGATGGGTCGATTTACTTTGAGAGATGAGGGTAAGCCTTTAAATTGATGTCTAGTAATATGTCTAAAATAGATTCTTCACCTGAGTACAGTTCATAGAGAACTGGATGCATGTTTTATGAGTTATATGAATTGGACAGCTGGTAAAATTAACTGCATTTTGGCAGTAATGCTCTAGAAGAATTTTGATATTTTGTTAGTGGGTTTTGAGAGCCATTTATTTACTATAAACAAGGTTTCTGTGATGTAATCCTTTGTAATATATGTGATTAAAGCTCATCTTGCCCTCTTAAGATTTGCAATGTGAGCTTGAGGTATATATATCTTATCATTTTGTGGTCAGAGGAAATAATTTAAAAATCAAATATAATATATTCACTGCACTGATAAGAGGGTGGGAATAAAAGGGATATATAGATTGATTGCCTTTTAAAACTTTTTTTTTTTTTTTTTTAAGATTTAATAGTCATGCTCTTTAGTTAATCTGAACAGCTGTAATTTTTCTGACTTGTGGCCATGAAATTCTTTGGTATCATGAAAACAAAATGACTTTTACTAAACATTTCTCTATGGGTTGTTAACTTAGGTAACTATTTTAAGATTGGAAAATTTACATAAAACTTTGATTTAGTTTCCATTCAGCAAAAAATTGACTGTATTGCAAGTCAAAAACTGTGCTTAGCATTGGAAATATGATGATATAGTAGAGACCTGGTGCATGAAAATTCATGCACTGCCGGGGGCGGGGGGGGGGGGAGTGGGCCCTCAGCCCGGCCTGCCCACTCTCACAGTCCAGGAGCCCTCAGGGGTGACCTGGTGATCAGGGGAAGGCGACACCCCATCACACTTCTGCTGTTGCCACTACCGGCAGCGTAAATCTCGGCCAGCCCTGGGCAGCTGGGGGGCTAAGGGACTGGGTGCCACTATCCTGTGGCTGTGGGCACCGCCATCTTTGAGGGCGTGACAATTAGTATATTCTTTCCTTATTGGCTGTGGGCACTGCCATCTTTGTGACAGTGTGAGGATTAATTAGCATATTCCCTCTTTATTAGATAGGATATATTTTTTGCACTTTAGTTCTAGTTCAGAGAAATCTTTATAAAGAAATCTTTAGAGTTCATAAAATTTTTTATTTTAAAAATCTGCTTTGTGTTAGTGAAATTCGCAGATTACTGGGTTGTCCTATTAATATTATAAAATTAACCCAACCAGCCCATGGCTCAGCAGTTGAATGTCACCTATGAGCCAGAAGGTCATGGTTCAGTTCCCACACAGGGCACATAACCAGGTTTTGGGCTAGATCCCCAGTGTGGGCAGTGGAGGAGGCAGCCAATTAATGATTCTCTCTTATCATTGGTGTTTCTCTCTCTCCCTATTCCTCCAAACAATAAAAATATATTTTAAAATATATATGTAACAGAATTAACCTGATAAAGTCACAGAGGAAATTAATGTAACAGATTTTTAACTCTAATTATCTTTTCCTAAATATAGTGGAACCTTGTTTCTCAGACTTAATTCATTTCAAAAGGCTGCTTAAGAATCACTTTGTTCGAAAATGGAATTATTTTTCCCATTAGAAATTATGTAAATTGAATCAATACATTCAAAACCCCCAAATGATTCTGTTTCAACTTTTCTTATATACAGTACATGTTTAATGTACTGTTTAATTTGTAAATAAGTACCTTTTATCTTAAATTTGTCAAACCTTCTCCTGCTAGCCCTAAAGAAATTTTTCCTATATCACTGCCTATGAAATGCTATCACCAGATAACTGCTTTTCCTTTATCAAAATCATCAGCTGTTTTTCTGCCTATTCAATTGCCTGTGAGTGCTGTTTCACGAGCACTTTCAGACCCTTGGCAACATTTGCACTCTTTGTCATGCTGAGGTATCAGTATGAAAGGATTGTCAGGTGGAAAATCCAAACTTTTCTTCTGTGAACAACTTGGTTGAGAAACAAATTGTTCAATATGTGAGAACTTCAAGAAATTAGGCTTCAATGTAGTGTGTCCGCCCCCCCATAAGATGGAGAGAGCCCCTTTTAACATCTTTGAGATAACTCACATACTATGAAATAGACCTGTTTAAGTGTGCAATGCAATGAATTTTAACATATTTACAGAGTTGTGTAGCCATCACATTCTAATTTTAGAATGTTTATTATAGCTAAAAAGAAACCTTATACCTATATAGTTATCTCCTACACCTACCTCCAGACCTAGGCAATCACATTTTTTTTTTTCTATTTGCCTTACTGAACAAGTCATATAAATAGAACATAAAATTTGTGGTCTTCAGTGTCTAGTATATTCCACTTATTATAGTTTGTGTGTGTTTTTTAAATCTTCACTGGAGGGTGGCTTTTAAAAAAATTATTTTGAGACAGGGGAAAAAGGGAAACATCAATTTGAGAGAGATACATCGATCACTTGCCTCCCGTATTTGTCCCATAGAACCTGTAACCTAGATATATGCTGCCCTGACCAGAAATCAAACCTTTTGGTGTATGAGATGACACTCCAACCAATTGAGCCAGCAGGGTTAGACAGATATAAATATATGAGAGAAACATATTAGTTGCCTCCTACACACTCTCTGACCAGGGCCTGGGTGAGGGAGAAGCCTGCAACGGAGGTATGTGCCATTGACCCAATCAAATTCAGAACCCTTAGGTCTGCAGGCCAACCCTCTATCCTCTGAACCAAACCATGTAGGGCAAGATATTTTTTATATAGGAAATCATGTTTGTTTGTTTTTCAGCCTCTCCTCCTCTGCCCCCCCCCAAAAAAGATCCACTTATTAAGACTCCTTAATCAGAAATCATGCCTTTTTGTCAGCAAAACAAAATCATGCCTTTTTTGTCCTGCTGAGATATCAGCATGAAAGAGTTGTCATATCCAAAACTGAAGTTAATACTTTGTTATAAAAATTAAGATTTAAATTAATAAGCTTTAAATACCTTACGTGGCTTTGCTGTTGACTACTGAAAAAATTTTTGTTTTTGTTGCATTTTCAGGTAAGACCATTGCAATTGGAAAAGTTCTGAAACTGGTTCCAGAGAAAGACTAAGCATTTTCTTGATGACCCTGCACAATACTGTGAGGAAAATTGACTGCAAAAGCCTACTTCACACCGCCTTCTTATTTTCTGCCCATTGACAAACCTCTCCCTATATTTTGCAAAGACAAAATTCACAGCAAAAGTCCACATTATGTCAGCTTTCTCATATTGAGAGCTCTGCTATGCCACTGTTGAATTTTTCCCAATATTTTTTTCTTCCCCTCTCAAACTGCTTCCTTGGACAGATTTGGCAATAGCTTTGTAAGTGATGTGGACATAATTGCCTACAATAATGAAAACCTATAGAAATTTTTTAATTTTTCATTTTCCCCTTAGGCATACATAGTCTTCCCCCAAGGCAGATCATTCTGAGTGTGCGAGTGTGTGTGCACATGTTACAAAGACAACTACCATGTTAATAAAATATTCAATTTGAAACCCTTTTCGGTATTTGAATTGCTTTTGAATAATGTTTTTTATCTGGATATAACATTGTTGCATTAGCTTTTTAACATTACCAAGTAATTGAATACATTTTATTACTTGGACTTTTCTAAACTCTTTCCCTATCCACTACTTTAAATGAGGCATTTACAAACAGTATTCAAGTTTGTATTAAAGAAAAGAATCAGTTTGACCCCTTTTTGATGGTAATGCATACATATAATAATTAACTTTCTGTAACTGACACTGCTTTATTAGATCTATCAGTTATTTTTGGCCAATTTATATTTTAACATGATTTCTTAAACACAGTAAATTGTTTTAAAATAAAAGCATACTGTAGTTTTTATAAGAAAGCATAATTGTACCCCTACAAAAAATTCCGTTACCGTGTTAAATTAGTGGAATTTACAATAAAGAAAGCATGTTGAGATCTGGCAAAAATGCTTCCTTTAGAATTTATAAGAGCTGCATGCATCTAGTATGAAGACTATCAATTGGAAGAGCCAGATCTGCAAATTACTCATTTTACTGTTTGTATCACTGGTTTTAAACATTGGTTGTTCCTTGCTGGTTAACGATAAATTTTATCCAGCAACTAAATGAACACATACTTAGGAACCATCAGAATTTACACAGATTACAATGAACAGTGATAAGTAGAATCAAGCACAGTATAAGCTTTTCTCAACTATTTGAAATTAATTGTGTTCTTAAATTTAAAGCTGGAATTTGTTAAACTATGATTTGGATGAACCACAATGTAGCATTGTGATGGTTTTAGATTGAAGGATGACTTTCTGGTACAACTCATGACTTTGAAATTTTTAATGAGAACAAATGGGAAATGGGTAAGCTAATTTCTCAGTTTATTGGAAGGCCCCCCCCTCCCTTGATTTTTAGTGTTGCCATTTATTAAATACTTGGCCTCTTTCACATTATAATTTATCTCTAAATAAGATACTCTATTTATTTAATGACACTTAATTCCCTATATTATTCCCTAGAAAAGAAAAGCCTAGTCAAACTAATTCTAATCATAAAACCTGATACTTAATTTAACTCTTGTTTTCTTAATTATAGAAATCCCATTCATTTCATGAATGGGCTATATTTTATGAGGAGAGCAACATTATTCTCTTGCAGCTTCCTGTAACTATACTCATGGCTATTAAATTGCATGAATTTTAATTCTATTATGTCTGCACATCTCTGGGCTTTTATTTTTCTGGGAGATACGGGAATTTTAATCAGTACATAATAACTTTTTGTACTTTCAAGTTAACAAAATACTAGTAATTGCTTGGATTTTAATGAATCTTCAAAAATTCGAGAGTTGTTAAAATTACTTCTAGAGTTCCATTTTTAAATTGAACACATTTTAAAAACCAATTATATGCTTGCTATTAAGACATTTACATTTTTAGATTATGTGCATGTTGCCAACACTTTTTAAGTAAAACATGGCTATCAACTGAAGGGCCTACATCTAAAATGTAATTATGGAAAAAATTTCATGAATTCTTGCACATTTGTGCGAATAATTATTTAACCTCATTGTTAAATTAACCAATACCATATGCTTTATGTGCTTTGACATTTTTTTTAGAAATTTATTCTTAAAGTTGCTGCATTTTAAATTAATTACAATGAATAGTTATTTAGATGAGGAAATAAATATCTGAAATAAACTGGCAGTGTATGGCGATTTTGGACCTTTAAGCAATACAGATTCCTATGCTGTCATTTTGTCTTCTGCAAGTGCAGGTTTGTTTATATGTTTGACAATGCAAAAATAGAGGACAATTGATAGATTTGGGAGATTACAGAACTAAATATTGCATCTTTAGCATAGATGTGTTAGAACAATTGTCTTTGCATCTTTTTACATTACTAATATTTATACAACTTTCATTCTAGATTATTTAATTATAGTTTTTTAAATTAACTGAATTTAAGAAAAGAAAGATATCATTGAAATAAATGTCTAAGTAATTGCTATTCTAAACCCTTATTTCTTACTGTGGGGGACTGGTATGGTAACTAGTCCTTGCTTTTAATTTGCAAAAAAGACTTATTCAGTGAAAATCTATGTAAAATCAAGAGTTGAACTGAGTATGTACTGCCATGAACTTATGTAAACAAATAGTAAAGTTGTTGAATAATTAAGCCCATGTACATTTGTTTGTTTGAATTGAAAGTCTTGAAATATGTGATAATTGAATGTAAAAACTTTGTAAATTGTAAAAAAGTCCAGGTTCACTGTAACAAGGTAATTAATACTTGTCTGCTAGTTATATAAAGTACAAGAACTGCTTTTACAATATGGCTTGTACTTTGAGGTGATGCCATTCAATGATTACCAGCATCCTATCAGCTGAAGTGCTGCAGATATTTTGGGTCATAGTTTCAACAAGATGCAGTTTTGTAACCCAAGAAAAAGGTGAACCTATGGTCAAAAACTGCTTCCATGATGAACTTTTGAAAAAAGTCAGCTAAACTCCCTGGCAATCTTCAGGAATACTATAATTACTCGGTGATCTTTGATGGCTGTTCCACTGACAGCAGTCTAGCACCTTTCCTCATTGGCATGGACTTCCTCATTGACTGCTGCTTCATGGATGGTAGCTTCATTGCTTTCGGTAGGGATTTAAGATAGTCAAGGGACAAATATAGTTTTTATTACAGCTCTTAACACCAAGCAACTTGCAATCTTTAAACCCTTTGTGAACATTCTGTTTCCAGCACTATAGCTCTGATTGTAGGTTAAGTGTTATGTTCAGTGTTGGCCTATCTAATCAGAATAAACTGTGCTATCAATCCTCTCTCAGACATATATAAGGTAGATAGCATTCAATAGGATTTAGGGGATGATTTTCTGTCTCCAAATAATACAGCTTTTATTTCCTCCAGCAAATTTCTCAGCAGATAGCACCTAATACATTCACAATCTTGTTTCTTTAGAAATCTCGCCATGGCAGCAACTTAAATAAATGTAATTATATAGCACAACTCAAAAAGACTAGATTTAAATTTAGTAGTCAGTTGGTGATAATAGATTTGATAGTAAATGGAATAGAAGTGTTCTTATATTCCTGTAGTAGTTTGGTGGACCCCATTTGAACCAATTTACTGCTGAAATTCAGACAGAATAGATTTGGTTCAACTTGTAATGATTTTGGCTCTAGGATATTCTTAATTTTCAATATCCTAGAATGTATTAAGTCTTCCCTTCAATAAATACACTTTCACATACCTCTAATCCTATGCTTCCTTGAAACAATAACATGCTAGCAAGTTGTTTACTAAGGAATGTTACAAGGGCCCTGGAGGAAATGGAGATTAAAACTTTTTATGTTCTCCAACATAAGGGAAAAGCAGAGGCATCATGTCTGATTAGGCAGAAAATTACACAGAATTTCTTAAACTCTTGGGGTGGCAATTACCTTTTCTGCCTTGTCACACATGCCACTGTGCCATTTAAAAATTAATGTGGAAACCTCAGGTTTGTCCCCTTTGCCAGGCACATTAGCTTAGTGCTTCCGATGTCAACCCAAGTCCCTGCTACCTCCTTTCCTGCTGCCCTGGAAGAGTATTTGTGCTGGAGCTGGAACTCTTGCATTCCTCAGGTGATCATCCACATGAATTAGGTAAAACAGGTCTGAGCTTAGGAGGTCTGCATTTTAAGAACTTGCATTGGGCTCTCAAATCAACACATCTTAGCTAGTTTCTTCTGTTTGTTCTAAAGGAAATGTGGATCTCTCTCAGGCCAAGGTGTAGTCTAGTTTCCACTAGACAGCAGGTTAATACCTAGTTCTTATTTACAAAAGAGTGGGGTCTGGGCCTAATTAGGTTTGCTAGTTTAAAAAAAAACTTAATTCCAAAGCATGGCAGAATGCTATAGGTAGGAATTAGGGAAATCCAAGGGAAAGAAACCTTTTTCTTATGATCTGTAGCTACCTACTGTGCCTGACTTGGTGCCTGTGTGAGGATTAAGCCCTTAGTCTGCTCTTGCAATTACTCAAATGACAAGTTTAAAAATACTTGCTTTTGTAATAATAAAAACTGTCACCTACCCTTTTGAAAGATTTGTCTGTTTGTTTATAATTACCTGTATTCATTTTCTGTACAATCCTTTATTTTTGTATCAAGTATTGGAACCATCTAGCAGCATGGGTCTAATTAGATGGATCTAATAAGCTCTGTCACATAAGAAATTTACAAACGTGGTCTGCTTGCATATAGTATGCAAGGTCTTTATACAGTGCATATGATTCTTAAAACAACAACTTGATAGGAAGTTATAGATGCTTAACAATAAATAGCTATATAACAGTATGTGGTTTATGTGAACAGAATTGAGGAAACACCAATAATTCTGCCAAAACTACAAACTTCTATTCAGAATTTTTATGAGCAAGTTTGACATGAAAGCAGGGGTTCATGTGAAAGTTCTAAATAAATGGTTTGACATTTCCCACACTTTTCAGTGACCAGCTCTCCAACCCAGTCCATCAAACATTGTTGAAAAAACATCTTAAGTGTGTTTGGGCATCCAACCATAC